AGGTAGTTGAAGTTGTCGTTGAGGGCGCTCGCGGGCCCCGCGGCGTGTTCATCGACGATGCGCAGTGCAGTGGTTCTCTCGCCAGGGCCGCGACCGCGGCCTCCTCCCAGGTTGCAGGCGACGAGACTCGCCAGCTCCTGGAGGGGGAGCTCGGCGGAGAGGGGCGCGCGACGGCGGCCCATCCGGGGGCGGGTTGCACGGCGGGCGCCAGCGGGGGGAACACCAAGGATGCGGGAGGAGACCTGCCGCGGGCGCAGCGGCCAGGCCCCGCAAGGGAATCCCTTCCAAGTTGCAGGGCCGCCAGGGCTCCCAGGGAGCGCGGCCAGAGGTTCCAGAGGAGCAACAGCAAGTGTCAGGTCGCCGTGGTCGTCAGGTTTTCGCTTCGGGACTTCTGGCGGGCGCCATTTGCGGCATCGAGGTGCAAGGCGCCTTCGGCGACGACCTGCGTTCTTTTCGCTGGGCTGCGGGCGTGGCTCTGAAGCCTTCGGCAGGGGGGCGCTCGTTTGCCTTGCCCGGCGCGCCTCGCGGCCGCGGCGCCAATTCGCAGGTGCAGCGAGGAGGTCTGGGCCAATCAAGGCCGCCTTGTCAGTGATCTCTTCGGCTTCCAGGACTTCATACATTTTGGGGGGGCTGCTTCTAGGGGGGCTCGGGGGGCCCGCTTGGCGAAAGGCCCTTGGCCCCATGGGGGTCATGCGGCTTTCCCTCGAGCGCGTTGGTGGGTCCGCGGATAACTGACATACTCTGATCGACGATTTCGGCGAAGATATCTGCTCGACGATTCCTGGCCCTGGGGCGGTACAACAACACATTGCTATATGATGGTGTCCCAAGGCAGCTCGAGCGCGATATCGGCGGCATGTTCGGCACGCAGAGAGCGCGCCTGGAGGCCGCGGGCTCGGAGCTGCGATCGAGGCGCCACTCTCCGCTCGCTCGCGGGGCGATCGATGCCCTCGCTCGCGGCGCTTCGTGGCCGAGAGATCGCGGTCTCCTTGTGGCGCGCCCTCCCGTCAGTGCTGCGTGAGCTCTGCTAGGCATCCGATGATCCCCTCGCCCGTGGGCTCTGACAGCGCGACCGCTGCGCTGAGCGGCGCGATCGCAGATGAACTCAACGAACCCTCAGAGAAATCTCAAAGCATTCTCAACCGAGTCCTTACACCAGCGCGTTCTGCATTACAAGCAGACGCAACTCCCCCTCCACCCAGAGCGCCCGTTGAAGGAATCTCTGGGGATGCATGAGAAGTCCGCCGTCGGGACTGCGCCCGAGCGCGCTCGGAGTTCCGGAGTCTCCCGCCCCGAGGAGCTGCCCCCCTGGGCGCGGGGGGGTCTGGAACACCCTATAGGGGCGGATGGCCTCTGCCGTTTTGCGGCGGGGGCTGGCTTTTGCGCGACCTGGCGCAGTGAGGGCCGGGCTCCGACCGACATCCAGGTGCGATTTTTTCCCTGGGTGGTTCTGTTTATCCGCACATTCGTCAGCTTTCGAGGGCTGGTCTGGGGTCTCGAAGCCCAGGGCGGCTCCGGCGCGCCTGCCTGAATCGCCTGGGGCCCCGCCCTCTCCCCGCGCCCCTAGACGTGCCAGGCAGGCGAGTGCGTCTCGCAGTTGGCCTCGGGGCTTTCCCCGGGCCCGAAGGCGGCGAGAGCGCGCGCGGCCCCCATCTCCACGCAGTTGTGACTTCGCAGGCCGCATGCTGGCACGGCGTGGATTGGCAGGAGCAAGTTGTCGCAGTCAGCGTCGAAAGTAAGGGCCCATCGGGTGGGGCATGACCCGATGACGGCGTCTGGGCTCAATCGCAAGAGCGGCGACGACGCGGCCGATAGAGCTGCGAAGTTGGGGGCCCCGTTGCACCCCAGGCCGTCCAAAGCGGTGCGAGACGCTGTGGGTGGCCTGGTCCTAATCGGGAAAACGGCTTGCAGGCTTGCGGGTGCCCTCCTCCCACCCTGGTCCAGGCTAGACCTAGCCCCAAGCGAGTATTCACCGTCCGCCGCTCCGAAGCCACCCGTTGCCGTGGGGGTCGTTCATCGCTGGGCTTGGGTGCGGAAGCTCCGGCGGCGTGGGTGTTGTCTGCGGTTTCGAGGGTCTTCCGAGAAACCTTCGGGGCTCGGATGCGTTGGCCACCCTCCCCATAGTGCTAGAAGGCACCTCCCAGAGAGGGCATGCGACGTTGGCGCTAGATGGTTCGGGCAACTCGAGTTTCTTTGCATGTGTTAGCTGCAAAGCTTACACGACCATTGGACAAGTGAGGAACCCCCCTGTCATTTGCAGGCCTCTCGATAAGAAGTCGGGGGCTGGCAAGACTGCGCTGGCGCGGTGGGGAAGGATCCCGGGAGGCCCCCCACCCTAAGCTGGACGATGTTTTTGTTGAGCTTCTTACCCCGCTCGGGGAAGACGGAGAATTTGAACCTCAAGGCGAGGTCCGTTCCAAGGAGGAAGGGGCCAGTCCTGTGGATGATGGAACTCAGGGAGGGTTTCATCTCCCTGGGGGATGAAGAGGACAATGCTCCTCTCGTGTCTGCTGCCCGTGTCGGTCAGGGTCTCCTGTCGATTCGGACTGGCGTTTTTTCTTGCCCCTGGGATGTCTTGCCGCAGGAGTCACCGTTGGGGTCGTTTTTTCATGCGGACAAGCCTTTTGGGGTTAGCAGACACGCTTCGTGGCGCCACGGGAAGGTCCACCGAGGGCCCCGGCGGCAGGGTCCACGTGGCGCACCCGAGCCCGATGCGGCGCCCCCCTCGCACGCTTCGTGGCCCCACAGGGAGCTCCACCGAAGGCGCCAGCAGCACGGCCCGCATGGCGTGCCCGCGCCCGCTTCGGCCCCGGCGGCAGGGCCTGCATGGTGCACGTGCGATCGATTCGGCACACCCCTCGACGCGAACGCCCCGCGACGCGCGCTTGTCGCCCCGATGGAGTTCGAGCGACGCGCGCGGGTCGTCCGTGGCGCGGGGTCGGAATCCTTGGGCGGTTGACAAGGGGCGAGGCGCCAGGCAGAGTGCGCTGGTGTCGGGCGGCACTTGGAGGCAGAGCGCATGGGAGCCCCCGCGAGACACGCTGGTCGCCCTGTAACGATTCCAGCGAGGCGCGCGGGTCGTCCGCGGCGCAAGGCTGTACATCTGGGCAGTCGAACGGCGAGACTCGGGCGGGCCATTCTTCAGGTCAAGCCTCGCGGATGAACCGGGCGAAACCAAGCTCCTTGGCAAGGCCGTCGCCAAATTAAAAAAAAAGCCCTCGACGCGCCCATGTCCGCTTTTCTCCCCGCCCACACCCCAAATCCTCTTGCCAGGCGCACTCTTCCCACTCTTCCTGCCTCGCGACGCTCGCAGCTGCATATGGTTGGGTCTTTCGCAACGTTTTTCCCCCCCGCCATCTTGTGGTGTGTGGTCCTCGTTTTGAAAGAAAAAAAAAAAAAAAAAAAAAAAAAAAAAAAACGCCCCGCGTCCTTCCTTTTTTCCCCCCCACCCCTCCTTCCATCCCTCCTTTTGCCCCCCTCCGCGCGCCCATGTCGGCAAACCCTTCGCACGCTTCGTACTTCCATAGGGAGCCCCAATTAAGGCCCAGAAGTGCCAGCGTTCGCATGGTGCGCTCGCCCCCGATTGGGCACACCCTTCTCACGATTCGTGGCCCCATGGGGAGCCCCAACTAAGGCCCAGATGCCAACGCTCGCATGGCGCACCCGCCTCCGATCCGGCACACCCGTCACACGGTTCGTGGCCCCAAAGGAACCCCAACGAAAACCCAAATGCCAGCGCTCGCATGGCGCACCCGCCCCCGATTCAGCACACACTTGGCAAACTTCATGGCCCCAAAGGGGGGCCCAAGTAGATCCCCAGTGGCAGCGTTCGCACGGCGTGCCCGCGCCCGATTCGGCACACCCATCACCTGATCGTGGCTCCATGGAGAGCTCTACCGAAGGTCTCAGTGGCAGCGTTCGCATGGCGCTCCCGCCCCCGAGTCGGCACACCCCTCGCACGTTTCGAGGCCCCATAGGGAGTTCCACCGAAGGCCCTTGTAGTTGCGTTCGCATGGCGCACCCGCGCCCGATCGGGCACATCCCTCACACGTTGCAGTGCCCCCAGAATGAACTTCACCGAAGGCCCCAGTGACTGCGCCTGCAGGGCGTACTCGCGCACGAACTGTCACACCCCTCACACGTTTCGTGGTCGCACAAGGAGTTCCATCGGAGGCCCCAGCGTCTGCGTGCGCATGGCGTACCCGCATTTGATTTGGCACACCATTCACACGCTTTGTTGCATTATAAGGGGGCTCCACCGAAAGCTCAGCCAGCCCGGGCGGCACACGAGCCCGCGACGAGGCGGCGACGGGCGGCGACGAACGGCGACGGGCGGCGACGGGGCTAAGAGCAAACCGCGCGCGAACCACGTTCTTTGAAAGACAAACAGGAAACCCTAAATGCGAACACTGTTTGGGGAGTCAATGGTTTGGGTCTCGAAGGAGTCCTCTTCAAGTTTTCTTGGGGTGGTGCCGGGAGCTTCTTGGACCATCTTGATGCCATCTTGATGCCATTTTGAATTGTTTGGAGAATTGTTGGGCTGTTTCGGGATCCATTGGACCATCTAGGAGGCATTGCGGGACCCTCCTGGCCCCTCTTTGGTTTCCTGGACACTTCGCACAACACGCCGCCAGAAGTCCCGAAGAATCTGGGCATTTGGGGTCTGGGCCCGCTTGGCAGCCCCGCAGGGTTCAGGCCTGCGGACTCGAGGGACCTGCAGGACACTCCACCTACAGTCGGCCCTGATTAGTAGGTCGACCCTGCCAGCTCAAGGCTACCCTTGTGTCCTGTGCCTCGCGACACGTGCCTTCTTACACTCCTATGGCGATGTGGCCTTCGGAAGGGTCTTGTGTCCTCTTGCGTGTCCTCTCCAATCAAGTCCGACTGTAGGTGCCTCCAGGCACGGCGGCAGACTCTCGTCGCGCCCCGCCGTCCTCCTCCAGAAAGCGTAGCACTGTGCGCGTTTGCCCCGCCCCCCCGCCCCACGGGGCCCGGCGCAGGACGACGAGGTCACCTTCCACAGCGCGGCGAAGATGGTCCTTCGGCTAAACCTGGTGGAGGAGGAGGAGAACCCAGAGGAGGCCCTGCCAGGGGTGGAGGAGCAAGGGCGTGCAGACACCAGACGGCGTGACGTGTTCAATGCGCGGCCCCACAGGTCCCGACCCGTTCTCCGGGGGTAGCTCTCTGTTCCGGATTGATGTTTTGTGGCCCCATGGTGCCCGACAGCGGGCCCTGATGTGGAGGACGAGATCCATGGAAAACGCAGGGATTGAAAACAAAAAAACATGTCGTCGGAGATCTGGATGGGCCACGGGGTAGGCGGCCCCACCCCCAGGGAGGAGGTTGAGGGCCCTGTGCGCGCAGACCACCCTGGCCGCCGACGGCGGCAGAGCGGCTGTGGGAAACAGCATCACGCGACCCCCGCCGCCGAACGGGCGGCAGAGCGGTCCGAAGATCGGCCCACGCGGAGGAAGGAGAAGAGGAGCGGGACCAGACGGCGAGCGTCCGAGGGCAAGATGAGGGCTACACGGGCTCGCAACGATTAGTTTGGAAGCATGTGGGGCGCTCCAGAAATGGCTTCGCCTTCGAGGATCGACTGAGTTGCCAGATCTTCCTCGGCGGAAGCCAGCGGAAGCTGGCGGAAGTAAAAGTTGACCTCCCAAGAGATGCCAATGTTTTGGGGTTCAGAATATCTGGGACCCGACGCGTGTGCATCAACGGTCGGAAGTAATTACGATTGCAGAACCTCACACAGCACATTGGCCTTCAGAGGGAATCGGCTTCCATTCACGGTCAGGGTCAAGGTTAAGCTTGTATACCCGCGAAGGGTCGGCTGCGCATGGCACAGGCGGGTGCAAGCTATCCGTTGCTCACGCGACGAAGGAAGATGTCTTGCCTCTTGCCGCACTCTTCAAACAATATGTTCATGTAGCTGCTGATCCCCAGTGTGTATCCTCACGATGAGCATCACCATTGTCATCGTCACTATCGCTATCATCGGCCAGGGCATCCCTAGTGACGCTGTGGACATGTGACCATGTCGAATTGTTGTAAAGCATCGTGGGGTCATTATGTATCCATGTTCACACCAACGCTGGCATTCAACTGGAGGCGCTCGAGAAGCTTGACGTCAGCGAGGCAGTGGCGTCGAAGAAGGACCGTGAGATTTCGGATCTCGAGAACCTCCGGTACGGCGACAGCGGCGTCAAGGCCGGCACGGGAGCTTCCCTCGATTCCATTACCTCTTGTGTTCCGTCCATCTTAGCGTAAGTTCCCAATTCCACTGCCTTTCGCATTTCCTCTCCAACGACCCCCCTTCATCCTCCTGCTTTCTCCCCGTTGTTCCTTCCTCCTTCCCTCCCTCCCTTTGCTTTTTCATCTGAGCCTCAGTGGCGTCGGCTGGCCGACGCGTAGAGTCTGGAGGTTGCACCATCGCAGCTCGAAGAGGGAGCAGCGCTAGAGCTGGCGGCATAGAGGGGGGCCAGAGAGGTGGTGGTGTTTTTTTGCAAATTGCAACTGCATCCTCTGAGTTGGAAACCATTGCTCTAAACCTTGCTGCTACGCCCTGGTGCTCCTCCATTTCCGACGACGTCCAGCTATCAGCGAGGCAGCCCCAGCCCTAGAGAAAAAGGTACTTAGTATGACGATCATGTGTAATGCGCCATGCGAAGACTGGGTGGCCTCAGCAGGGGCATGGCGTTTGCTAAACATGCGTCTTGAAGCGCATGATCTGTGGAGTTTGCGTGGCGGGTAGCCTTTGGCTGATCGGTCTTGTCTGAGTGAGACGAGGCTGATAACTTCAGTACAACGTTGATGATACTAAATGATGGCGATCCCCCAGCGCTGAGTAATTCAATCTGAATACCCCCACCAATCAACCAGCAATGGCGGTATCATCATGTGACTAGTTCACACTCTTGCCCGTAACCACCAGCTCGAAGGTGTTGCTGCTGCTGGAGCTTTAAGAAGCTGGCTCCTAGACCAGACGATGCGAGGCCTAGCGCACGATTGCGTGAACCCGCATACGAAATTTCAAGCTCCATGACAGTGCCCAGCCAGTGCGAGATTCTGCTCACTCCAGCCTGCGCCCCGCTGGAGCGCAGCCCGCCACACCACCAACCATTCAACCTCCGGGCTGCAGTCGTGCTTCAATCCCGAGAAATGCGCCCGAGAGGTCCGACCTTTGTTTCGAGACGATATACGGGATATTGGGGACAACGTTTCTGGCCTGGCCTGAGCACATCGGATTTCAAAAGGAATCCTCTGTAAGGCGCTCGCCCGAGGAAATCATTAAAACGCTCTTCTCTATGGAAACCGAGGCGTCTCTCCACCATCGCGCCAGTCGGTTGTTCCTTTGTCTTATGCCCTGGGCTCCACGACAGGTAGTGTTCGTGAAGCGCGCGCGACGGCCCTAAGATACCATCAGACACACCTCTGCGCCATGCGATCTTTCATTGGACAAGTGAATCGCCCGTCGGTGGCCGGCGCCGACCAAAGCCATCGCAACCATTTCTTCGTGGCCCGTACACCCGAAGTCTGAGGACGTATTGAATATCCCGACGCGGTACAGCGCGGCTAGTCTGCATGGTGCGCCCAATATCGGCTCAGCCGGCGTTGGCGCGCAGACAGATGTGAAAATGCAGGTGGTTGCCGTTGCTGAAGAGGCGCAGTCGCAGATTGTTGTTGCAGCCTAGCAGCCACACGTCGCCGACGACGACGCTGCTGGCTCGTCCGGCAGCGCCGCCGACCCCTGGCCATTCGTTCCGATGGAGACTGACGCTCCTCCTAGTGAGGCCACCGACACAGATGGTAGCGAAGCCAGCGCTCCCCGCCCCCCCGCGACGCCGCTGCGCACCGGCGTGCTGCCGGCCGCTGATGGCCGCCAGCTCCGGGGCGACTCGTTCGGCAGCCTTCGCGGCGCGCGCAGCTTCCGCTGCCGGGCCCGCCGCGGATCAAGGGCCGCGGGGAAACGCCCGCTGGCGAGACGTCGCCCGCTGCCTCGCGCGGCGCGCAGAGGCGCAGTACCTGGGCAGATGGCGGACAAGGAGAGACCGATGAAGAATGGCCAGACAATCTTGCATCGAGGAGGCAATCTTGGAGGCTCCGCACAGGGGCCCGTTCCGCAGACGAATGTGACAAGAATCGGCACTACCCTGCCAAGAAAGGCGGATCTTACGTCTGGAACAAGGCTGCCAAATCATGGCAATGTTGGGGTGCAGCGGATTATGCCAAGTATTTCCATCATACTTCAACGAGAAAAAGAGCCCGACACCGTCTTAGACGGGGTCGAGCTACAAGCTCTACAAGATCGGCACAAAGTTCCAGCACCCGATTACTAACTGTCCTTGTTGATGCCACGGTTTTTTTGTGGGATTCGACGGTCTGTTTCGGCCATCTTCAAGGGATCCTACGCTATGATCGGCGCGCCCTCCCCTGGCGCTGTAGAAGTTTTTGGGGGGCTGGCGACAGGGGGGGCCAACGTGCTTCGGGGGGCGCCGGAAACCCGGGGGTGGCACGATTGTTTTGTCTCACGTGGTTTTCGGGGTGACACGTGTCACCCCTGTGCTGTGTCACGCGCCAAGGCATTCAGAATATGATTGAAACAGCGGTTTTTCAGAAGATTGTCGTGGTGACGCGTGTCACCCCAGTGTTGTATCACACGGTATGGTTCCATGTTTTCATCCACAGTAGGAATGAAACAGCAGGTTTTCCTCACAGGGTTTTCGGGGTGACGCGTGCCATGTCTGTTTTGTTCTCCATTCTGACATCCGGAACTTAAGTGGAACATGTGTCTCACGCGGTTTTCGGGGTGACGCGTGCCGCCTTTGTGCTGGTTCATTCTGTATGGTCCCATGTTGGCATTCTTGCACGGTTTTCGGGGTGACGTGTGTCACCACTGGTCCGCAGCCTGGCTCAAGCCGTCTCGGCTCGAGCCCGCCCCTCAGGTGCGGCGCTCGGGCCCGGGTGATGGGGCTCGGCGGCGGGGCCGAGAGCGCCGCGGGCGCCGCCGGCGCCGCGGGCGCAGCTGGAGCCGCGGCCGCCCCCGGCGGCCGCCCACCATGGCTCCCCCGCGCCGCGGGCGCCGCCGGCGCGGCCTGCGGCCGCCCCCCCGAGCCCCCCTGCGCCGCAGGCCGCGGGCGCCGCGGCCGCGGCGCCGCGCCGCGGCGCCGCTGGCGCCGCCGGGCGCGCAGGCGCAGCTGGAGCCGCGGCCGCCGCCTGCGGCCCCCCCCCGAGCTCCCCGGGCGCCGCTGGCGCCGCCAGCGCCGCAGGCGCAGCTGGAGCCGCGGCCGCCGCCTGCGGCCGCCCCCCCGAGCTCCCCTGCGCCGCGGGCGCCGCTGGCGCCGCGGGCGCCGCTGGCGCCGACGGCGCCGCGGGCGCAGCTGGAGCCGCGGCCGCCGCTTGCGGCCGCTCCCTTGGGCCCCCTGCGCCGCGGGCGCCGCGGGCGCCGCGGGCGCCGCGAGCGCCGCGGGCGCCGCTGGCGCTGCTGGCGCCGCGGGCGCAGCTGGAGCCGCGGCCGCCGCCCGCGGCCCCTCCCCCGGGTTTCCCTGCGCCGCGGGCGCCGCTGGCGCCGCTGACGCCGCCAGCACCGCGGCCGCAGCTGGAGCCGCGGACGCCGCCTGCGGCCGCCAGCCCCGCAGCCAGCCCGACAGCCCGCCCTCAACAACAGCAACAGCAGGGCACCCCTGGAAGCCGGCAGCAGCAGCAGCAGCAGCAGCAGCAGCAGCAGCAGCAGCTGCAACAGAACCCAGCAGCTGCGGCAGCACCTGCAGCCGCTTGCGCAGCAGCAGCAGCAGCACCAACAGCAGCCCCAACAGCAGACCCCCCCGGGGACGAGTGACGCGCGCGACCTCCAAGTACTCTTGCATCCTGGTGCTGTCGGTTCCGCGGTGGCGGTGGCACCACCCATTCCATCGTGATCCACAGGTACCGGCACATTGCCGGGATGTGGGATGCTCAGTTGTGCCCCCGTCGTCAGTGGCAGCGCAGGGTTCAGGGGGCACACCTTTCAAATTGCGAGGTGCGGCGGTCAGCTGCAACCCCCTGTCAACGAAAAAAAAAACATCCTTTGGAGTCGGCAACATGCAGTGGCTCCCACTTCGTCGCCCATTGTGACGGCGGCTTCTGACCCCCTTGCACATGGGCGTGGTGACAGTACGGTCAGCCTTGTCGGCATTGGCAGACAAGGACGTCGGTCAGGCACCTTTCTGGCGCTCGTGTGTGGCGTCGGCTGCAGTCACAGGAGTGCTTTCGAGATGCGCGAGCTGCACACCGCCTTGGTGCCAGAGGCCACCGCGGGCGCTCGCCATTGGTCGGCCACCACCAGGCTTTGGCCCGAACCCCCCTCGGCGGCGTACAGGCTGGCCGAATTCAAGTGAGTGAGTGGTTATGGCACCTTCCGCCTGGCAGTCCGGCCCCACCAGCGGGTCCGGCTTTTTTGTCTCCCCTTCCCTCGCTGGCACACGCTCAGCAGCCGGTTTTCCTTTTTGCTTCCATCGCTGGCAAATGTTCAGCGTTGTCCATTCTCTGCTGCTGGCACACGCTCAGCTGCTTCTTGGCCGGCACGGTGCTGCGCCGTTAATTATCTGCTTCCCGTGCGCTGTGTCCCAGCCTCGTTCTTACCGCTCTCTGGACTTTTCCTTGCGGACCGCGAATCAAAAAGTGTCACCACTGCGCCGTTTCACACTTTATGGTCACAGGTTGGCGTCTAGAATACGAGTAACACATTTTTGTTTCACGCGGCTTTTGGGGTGCAGCGTGTCAGTTTTGCGCTGTTTCACACGGTTTGGTCCCATGCTGGCATCCCAAAACATAGGACTGAAACAGTTGTTTTTTTCTCACACGGTTTTGGGAGTGACGCGTGTCATTTTTTTCTGTTTCACACTGTATTGGCCCATGGTGGCATCCAGAATACGAGTGAAACCGTTTTTTTATGTTTCTCAAACGGTTTTCGGGGTGGCGCTTGTCACCCTTGTGCTGCTTCACGCGGTATGGTCCATTGTTGGCATCCAGATTACGATTGAAACAGCTGTTTCTTATGATATGATTTCGGGGGTGACACTTGTCACCCCTGTGCTGTTTCAAGGTGTATGGTGACGTGCTGGCAGTCAGGCTGTGGATAAAACGCGTATTTTTATCTAACAATTTTCGGGTTGACACGTGTCACCCCTGTGTTGCTTCACGCTGTACACTGCCGTTTTTTAATACATGCT